AAAATACAGAGATTTTTCCTAAGCTAAACAGCAGCAGAGGTATCTTCAAAATTTTAAATCTCTTTAGCACTCAGGGACTATCTGTTTGGCCAACAAGAGCTCCCTGTGAAGCACAGGAAAATTAGAAAAATGTATTTCCAAATTGCTATTGTGCTTTTCAAAAAAATCAAATATTTTAACATCCAAGAATGCAGTCCAATAGCCATGACAAGCCTCCTGGACCAGGAATTCCTTTAGTGTAGGTCTGAACATAGCATGTAAAACCAGTATTCTCTGTCTTAGCCAACAGGGCTGCCCAATGGATTAGAACACTGCGGCTGTGAAACAACTGCACTTCCACCCCAGTGATGTGACTGATGCTCTCAAGAAAGTCACCACAGACACATCTCATGTGACAAACCAATGGAGGACTAGGACCTTGCAATATCACCTTAGTCTGCTGGCTTCAACACCAGACAATGTCTGAAACACTAGGACAAAACCCTGAAGCCATTGCAGTATCATCTGGCAGGGCTGCGACAGCTGGGATGTCAAAATCTACATTTAAAGGCTTCATGGATCACAGATGCCCCACAAATTACCTGTGGAGCGTTTCTCTTTCTGTCTTGGAAGCTGCTTTCTAAGAAGTAAAGGAATTAAAAGGTAGTAGAGGGGGACTAAGTTTCTGTCTAATGGCATGATAACAGCAGGATTTTTTTAAAAAAAGGAATGGAGAGGAAATTGATTAAAAAAAAAAAAAAAACCAAAAAATCAAACCAGATGGTTTTCAAATTATTCATGGAAGTGGTTACAGGATTGAAAGCAGGGTTAAAAAATTATATGCTTTTACCCTAAAAGTATCAGAAGCAATTTGGTGGTATTTGCAGATGACTCAAAGAGGAAAGAAGGATCATCTTCGTATTTATTTCCTAACTTACTTTTCACAAGAGTACTAGGATTTCCCTGCTAAGTGGTGGGATGAAGGAAATTTTATATAAATCTACAGGTAAATTTGAAACTGTCAAAGGAGAATGCATTACTAACTGCATTTTCTTCAGTGTAAGCTTTATTTTGCACAGAAAGGATTTTAAAGATCATTTACAGAACTCATAGGGAGAAAGGAAAACTTCATCCATACCAAGATTTTACTTTTCCTATTTGTGGTTCCACTGAAACAAGAAGAGCAATCTCAAGAAAAGAAAAAACATCATTAAACAGTTCTTTACTGGAAATGCCAATTCACCAAATCAAAAGATTTCATGGCAATGTACCAGCTTTAACAAATTTGCAGAGGAAAAGCTTTCCTGGCTCCAGAATGGAATTTCTGGTCAAAACTACGAGAAAACTTTTATCACACTGACAGATCTTTTTTCACTTGTGAATTCAGCAGCAGAGATTGGGAAAGTGCTACAGTAGCTGATGGGAAAAACACCCAGAGTGGGGCTACAGAGACATTTGCATCTGAGGCTGCTGCACTGCAGCTGTTACCTCCATGCCAAAGGCACTGCCCCTTGGAAGGTCCATTGCACACTCTTCCACGTGGGCATCTCTTCCTCTCTCCCTCCCATTTGTAAGTAAGAGGCTATAACCACTTCTACTACAGAAAGGGAGTGCATTGAAACTCCTGAGGTTCAGCAGGGGCGCTGAGTTTCCATGCCAGGTCTCTGGGGCCACCTGCTGATGCAGCTGCAGAGGATCTGCAGGGCACGGGGGGGCTGCAGGACAGCTGCTGACAGCAAGTTCATGTGGGCAGAAACTCCTGTGGGGACTCTGCAGCAGTTAAAGGCAAGGATAAAATAAAATAAAAAAAAATCAAAAAAGCCAACCCATTTTCTACAGATCCCAGACCTGGCAGACTCCTCAGTAGACAAGAAGTGACTGACTGCACTGAAAACTGTGCTCCCTATTCCATTTCCAGACTTGTATGTAGATGTTTCCACTGCTTTTATACCAAGGCATAGTTCAACACTTTATCTAAATGTACCGTCTAAAGAGATCCAATTATTATGGATTTAATATTTGCAATTAAATCTTACCCTTAGAGGAAAGTTGAGAATGGTACTCAAAGCATTAAATCATAGCTTTTCAAAGTGCATGTGCAAATCTCTCACAACTGCACTTTGACTGTTTCGTCATTTATATATTCATTTATATAGTATTATCTTGCTTTAGCTTGCTGTCTTCTTAAAAATTAATATTTTTTTGACATCCTTTTCCCACTAAATGGGCCTTGACAATATCTCTCAGTCTACACAGTAGATTTGCTTCTCCATGGCTCCTCAAGTGGAGAAACAGAAACAGTGTGTATGCAAATAACATTAAGCACTATACATTCGGTTCCAAAATCAGGAGTACATCTCACACCACTGATTGTCAAGCATGTTTTTCTATTCTCTTTCATTTCATATCTTTTCAGTCATAGATTAACATGCTGATTTATTTATCTTACAATGTTTAACTTAAATACAACAGAGCTGGCAGCAGAACAGTCACATAATCCCATGCCATCCACCATAAGCTTCTCAAAAATTGGATGTTAAACTTATTGAACAGTATGGTACACATTCAACAAGATCAGATCACTCTGAGATTAACTAAGGATTTCACGGAGCTTCGGCTTCAAGGCAGATCCATCCATGGTTCTGGACAAAACTATCAGTCCAAAAAATAGCAGTTCTGTAAGAATTAGCAGGAATTGTAATCATGCAGAATTAGGCGTTGCAAAAAGAAAACTGGTGTATGTCTGAAGAGTTCAGGGAGAAGGCAAAACAGTATTTACATTAACCATATGTTTTGGTTAATATCAAATACTTGGTGAAAAAAGCCTGGCACACAAAAGTACCACATATTCCTAGTTTCATTTCCCTTTGCACAAAGCATATGAATTTTAAATGCACATATATTGTTTGCCAAGTGATACCAGTGTGGTCCTTGGAATCCAAGGTGGCCAGACATCTTGGTCTTCCAAGTATTTTATACTCTCTGAGGTATCATCCTCAAAATCATGCCATCAGACAAAGTTCTCATATGCACACCCATATGTGTTCACACAGGCTTTTTCTCTTTTTTGAATTATTGTTTTTGTTAAGCATTTGCACATATGGTCCCAATGGGTAAATGGGCAAAGGTTAAATCTTTAACACAGCAGTATTTACAGAGGAAGCAGGGTTGTCACAGACATCCCTTCCGCTATTGTTCATTATAGTAATTTAAATTCTAGGTAATCTTGCTAACATCAGATGATCATTTTATTAATAAATAAACAACAAGAATTTATATGGATGACATTAAGAGAAAGATCTAAGAAATAGTACTGCTTCATGATTTTCAGATAAAAATCTCCCTGGAACATAGCACTTTAACTAATTTAATGTCATGCACTTAAAACAGTTACGAACCATGTTCAGTTACATAAGCATAAATCCACTTTACTGAAGTTAATGGAGTTATACTGGATTTGCATGGGTGAGCATACTCTTCTTGACTTTGAGTCATTCACTCACAGGCAGGATAGAGGGATTGCCAAAGGACTGTGGGTTTCCTTCACCACCCGTATTATACCTCATAGGAGAATATATAGAATAATACAATTATATTTATGTGAATACATTTAATATCCCTTTTGTACTCTAATTCTGAAAATTAAATTTTGAAGTTATTCATTTTAATAAGACACAACCAGACAAACTACAATCAAATTGAAAAAAAAAAAGTCAAAAGAGATCACAAGGGCTCAACTTAGGAAATCAGCAGTTAGCCTGGGTGCAGAACTAAACCCTAAATATTATGTTACATTTATGAATGCATTTGGAAATATACTTTTTAAAATCTGTATATGAATACTGAATACACATATGTACACATCTCACCATTTCAAAATAATTTTATCTGAAATAACACTATGTAACATACTGCTCTTACCTATAAGACTACTGATATAACATGAATGAGCAGAGACAAATAAATCCATTTGTGAGTCCAAAGCAAATTTTAATGATTTCTCTCCCTGCTCCTTTTAGCTAAACAGACATATTCTGAAATAGTAGAATTATACTCTGCTTTTTTTCTGTATTCATGTATGAATAACTGAATGAAAATTCCCCATTCTACTCAAAAAGTTATGAAAATATAAATCCAGGGTTATATAGTTAGCCTTCTTTAACTTTTTTAGCTATTTTCACATTTGCTGTACAACATTAGTGATTATATTTTAAAACTTATGATTATCAGATTCTTCAGTTTCACCTTCTGCGCCTTCAGTGTCAAACATCTTAAAAAAAAAAATGCTTTTCTTTGAAGGAAAATAAACACTATGTTTTAACTTTTATGGAACCTTGTTGATATTAGCTTGTTTGTCAAATCTTGTGCAACTTACCCAGGAGGTGTATTTCTGCAGTACAGATTGTCTCAAGGCTGTGAATAAGTTGTAATCTTCTGAACTATGGTGTACTTGGTGTGCAGCCCACAGTATATTAACCTCTGCAAAAGACAAAATTTCTGAGGTTTGTGCTAGAGAAGCAACATTTGTTTCCCTAGGCCTTTTTTATTAAGCTAAAAGCAACTACTTCTCCAATTTACACTTTGATATTTTACATGAACATAAAATAATAAAGCCTAATGCTCAAAGCTGAGTTTGTGTAGGCAAGGTTACATGTCTGTCAGTGCACACAGTCAGTAAATTTCATGCTGAAGTAAGGTGAATCTGTAGCAGGAACTAAAATCATTGCTGGAAGAGCAGAAGAAGGATGTGTGAGATGAGAACTGAACAGCCAGAAAACCTCATATGCGTTCTGGTAACATGAGTCAGTAGGAGCTCTGTATGGGATTCAGAGGGACAAAGACTGGGGATGCTTGCATGTTTGCACTTGATATTCTTAAAGACTAGAAGGGGACACAAAATGTTGCAAAAATTGTGTGCATCAAATTTAAACAGCTTAATTGGTGTCAGCTTTTGTGCTTACAGTTTTCTGGAATGTGTGACTCTTCAACCCACTCGTGCCACAGACCACAAAACACAGCCACTGCCTGCCCACTAGTGACAAATGGAAAAACAAACCAATGTTTGTTGGGAAGCCTTGACCCAGCCAAAGGAAAGAAGTGGCTCTATTGTTACAGTTAAAAAAAAAATAAATTGCTGGAATAAGGGCAAAACCAGTGTCAGCCACATTCTCCAAAGTCATGTCACTTCTAATGCACTGAAATGAAGAATAGTTATAAATCCTGATTATATTTCAAGACATTTTCTCACTCAAACACAGATCTGGGTAGCCTGTCTGCACTGTATCTGGCCAGTGCAAAGTGGGATGTTAAAAATATTCACATCTGTCAGTTATAAGGATTACCTTAATTATGGAAAAAAGGAAAAAAAACACATGGTCAATATAGCCCAAATAATGCCTATTTATCATAATCCTTTATTTAAGGTCTCATGTATTTCAAGGGATGAAGCCTCAGCTGATTACAGAAATTAAAAGTTGACTGGCTGTCTGCCAGCTGCACACTCCCATTGCACTGACCTTGTTTCACCAGAGCCATTAGAGAAGTGCCTCTGGCAGATATTAGAATCACATTCAGAAAACTATTTTATAATGGCTGACTAAAGTCCTGTAATTATTTGCACCCATGTTTACATCAAACAGTTTAGGTCTTGTGATTAACATGTACTTCCAATGTAAAGTAAGGCAAAAAAAATCCTCTTAATGAATCTGAAGGCACCTTTACTGTTTAGGGGATTACACAGTCTTGCAACAGGAGGTAACAACTGGGACCTTTAAATCTAATAATTTTTGAAAATTTGGTAACTAACATCACAAAATAATTTTTAAAATTATCTCTAGGACCTTAAAAATATTTAAATTTGTTGAAATAAATCCATAATTTCAACTATCAAAAACACTTACAAGATTTTTTTCTTCTTTAAATGCATTTGTTCCTGAAGGAACAAGTGTTCACTAATCAATAATTAGGGATGTCTCTCAAAAAAAACCCCAAAAAAGCCCAACCAACCAAACTCATCTCAATGCATCTCTGCCTAATAAACACACTAGGAAATGAATTATTCAGGTGAGCTTCAGTATTCAATAATTTCTGTTTGAAATGTTTCTCAAGACCTCGACAGAAGCTAAATGAGTGAAAAAAGCATCTGAAAAGGTGGAGGTTAAAGACCTGTCTCCTTAGTTGTTTTAAAAGCATTACTTCCTATCACAAACTGTGTGTAACACAAGCCTCCACTCAATGAAGTACAGCTGTGCAAACATAGTACAGTAACTGGATCTTTCTTCTTTCCCTCAGTCATTTTTCAGCATTATGAAAAGTTCAAGGAAGGGAATCTATGATGATTTTTACAGTCTACTTTCATTGTAGTTAAGGTCAAATGGTTTTCAAAACGAATTACTAAAATGGCATTTTATTAGGATTCATTTTTCAGTTAAACTGCCTCTTACATTAACAAGGATGTGGAATAAGGTAACCAAATATTGGTAAAATGTTAGTTATTCAGATGTGCGAGCCAGCCTAAATCATGTATCATTTAAAAACACATTACAGGAGTATTGGGGAGATAAACAAACAGTTCTTCCACAAGTTATTTAACTGCTACAGTTATTTCTGACTTCTGTTATAGGTAAGTAAATGAAATCCTGCTCCTTAATCCTACTGTTGATGAGACCAATGGCACAGACTATGTTAAATTCCTTTGAGAAATAGGCAGACTCAATTGGAAAAAAAAATTTATTAAAATTCATCTGAAGAAACTGATAATCAAGAACTTCTTATCAAAAGCAGAAGAATAACATGAATGGGTGAAATAGATCATCCCAAAACTGAGTCTGTAAGCATTAGTATATTAAAAATATTACAACTATAATGCAAAAAATTCATCTCTCAAATCTAAGAAACAGACCAAGCATTCTTCATGGAATAAAGCTGACTGTTCACCAACTGCCCTCAAGAGAAATGAAATTGTATGTGTCCACAGAAGACTTGTGGTTTCACTTTTTTATTTCTAACGATGATAACTTGAAAGAAAATGAAAAAAATATCTGAATGAGGATAAAATTAGAAAAGACCCTTCCACACAGACTTTCTCATATGTATTGGTCTCATAATGACGAATAAAGAAAGCAAGTTTGAGCCAATTCCAACATAGATTAAAAAAAAAAGAAAAGCAGAAAACAGCAAGTATTACTGCATTTTATAAAATTATCAAATCCTTCTGTGAAGCCACAGGAAAAAAGTAGGCAATGAAATTGGAGAAGCCACTGAGACGGTGTTCTAATGGAATGTTTGATGTTTCATAATTCAAATGTGGTTGTTAAATACAATTTAAGAAATAGATAACTTCAATACACTATACACAAACCTCCTATTTTTGATTGAGGATAATGAACCTCATGGAATCATAGGGTAATTCAGGTGGGAGAGAATCACCAAAGGTCTCCAGTCCAACCTCCTGCTCACAGTAAGACCAGCTTTAAGTTCCTGAGACTCACTTTGGTCTCGGTAAACCTCTGCATCTGCTGCTATTATGAAGAACTACCAGTCAGTGAAGATAAAGGTAGCATTTTCTTTTCAAGTAGTTGTGAAGAAAGTTATACAAGTTATAACCCAGGACAGCAAGGGTCTCCTTTCCTGTTGTGGCTTTCTCCAATTTCCTGTTAATGGATGGAGACATGATGAGCTATTCTCATCTGGTGAACAACAGGGCAACTGTATCTTGGTACTGGAGTACAAAGAATTGGTACTTGAATTAATTGGTACTTAAATTTTTGAATTTATTCCTATTATTATTACTTTCATTACCATCTACTGAATCAATTAATATTTCCATCCATCACCCAATTTGAAGAATCAACATGTAATCCCAGCATACAAAAAATTAGGCCATGTAGCTAGGTGATGAAGGAAAATTGGTGCTACCCAGAAACTGCTGAATGAAGGACAGGTTATGATTCGGCCTTCAGTTTTCATTCCAGCTCTTTAAGTCTCTTTGATGTCATCTCAGAATCAGACCTGCACTTGCTAAAATCAGTAAGCGACAAGCAACTGAGAGGTTTGTATCCTACAACTTCAAAAGAAAAGGAAGATTTGTCATTTAAGCATTAGTTCAATGTATAAATTCTGTTATTAGAAGAAAGAAAATGAGAAACTGAGGTAACCAGCCTGGCTTTGAGGGAACTTACAAGTAGCCTTGTAACAGCAATTAAGCACTGGCTAACAAGAAGCTGGAGTCAGGCTTTTTTTCAGCAGTCCCATTTATCTTCTTTTTTGGATTTTCCAAAATGAAGAAAGATTATTGATGTTATCCTTCTTTTGTACTTCTTCATTCCTTCCTCCTCCTAATTAGTTCATAAAATGTAATGTTTCACACACTTTCAAAATCATATTGGTAAGGCGACCAATGATTTTACTAAGGCTAATTTTTTCTTAAATTTAAAAGTAATTTTTCATTACTAATCAAGTTCCTTTCTATGAATCTCTAAGATCCAATGCCTGAGCCAAATTTCATTGCTCCCAAAGTATTTCTTTTTTAGTAGTAAGAAAGGTTCATTGTGCACCCAAGATTTCTCTTGCAGAATACAAAATACAGAGGTGTCAAAATGAGATATTTTTGTTGTTCATTTCAGTAATTTGAAGGGATTTCCATAGCCCAACACACTTTGGTTAACAACAGGAGAAAACATGTATACCAATAAAAACCTATAGTCATTTTAAGGAGTGATTTCAATGAAAACAGACATTTTATGAAATCTTCAGAATCAGTGAAATGGTACAGATTTGATGACTCTTGAGTAAATAAAAATATTAGAAATGAACTTATAATTAAAATATGCATACAAGCTTTATTAAACCTGGATCTTAAGTAATATGGAAAAAAAATATAGATTAGTCATGTAAAGTTTCCATTCTCTCACAATATACACTGACTGTAGCCAGGAGAACAAGTGAAAGTTTCCCTTCAACAGCTACTTAAACAGACCCTTCAGTTTTGCTATGCTAGCCCTCTTTTAGAAGATGGCATGGTCCCAGCTGACGCCAGTATGGAATCTGTTGTTCCTAAAGCAGGTGTAACCCACAGGGCTTCAGAGGCAGGTACTCTGTGCTCCCTTCACATACAAGCAATCAAAAAGGGATAATCTCCTGGGTCTACTTCTCTCTAGTCAGAATTAGCAGAAACCCCAGGATGATTGAGGAAGGAAAAACAGCCTGGAAGGTAGAAATGTCTGTCATCCATTTTCTATGCATTTCAATCCTACCTAAAAAGATAAAAGAGAGGAAAATAAATAGCATTTAAATAATTAACATGTTAAACTATTACCTTTTCTGATTCACAAAAAAAACCCAACTGATTACTCACTATGTTACTGCCTTCTTCTAACTGATCTGTTCATAGAATCATAGAATATGCTGAGTTGGAAGGGACCCACAAGGATTATCAAGTCCAACTCCTGGCCCAGCACAGGACAGCACCAAGGATCACT